AAGCAGCTGCTGTAAAGGAGGAAGAGGGACGGTGGACGCGTAGCTGGAGGCGTGAGAGGGATGAGTGGGTGATTAGGGGAGGTGGTAGCGTATTAGAGCCTGATTAGGCTTTAAAAAGAGAAGAAAAACGAAGTATGGAGATGGAGAGAAACCCAGAAAACAGAGGAGGAAACTTTCTGAGAATTCGAGTTTTGGTTGCTTAAAATTGGACATCAATCGAGGGTAAAGGAAGAGGGGTTGTTGCTGAGGAATCGTTTGAGGAAGGGGATACAGCCACGAGCTGAATCGAACGGTAATTCGAAGGTAATGAAAAACCCATTTCACCGAACCTTTAAATCTCGATATCTTGGTTCGTATTGTATAATAAGTTATGAAATAGGGCTTGTTAGAAACGTAATAAGGAGATCTATAAATTTGTAGAAGGAATCAGGATGAAATTCGAACCGTAGAAGGAGGATATGGCTTCGGGATATAGTAGGTATTAACAGAAAAGATGGAAAATTTCAGAAAAAACGCAAGGAGGAAGAAGAAGCGCGTGCACTACACGCAGGCGCGTGAGGGCCGCGACTGGGCGAGCGACTGGGCGTGCTCCTGGCGCGTGGGACAGACACACCGAGGCGCGTGAGGGCGCGTGAGGGCGCGTGAAGCGTCAGTTCGGTTTCCGGTTTGTCCCGTTCGATTTGTTTTGACCTGTTCTACCTAGATTGACCTATACTTACCTTGAAAATGGTGAAATATAGGTCTACTTGGAAGAAATTGTGTTGAAATACCCTATTAAATGTACAATCAAGAGAGAAAGGGATTCGAAACCAGGTAAGTAGCGTATCGACCTTTGAACTAGTTCTTAACTTGTTTTACAACATGTGAGTATGTTGTTTACCTGATTAAGAGCTTAATAAGTATGATGAGCTTTGATGATAGTTCGTGTTTATTGTATATTGTGACTGCTTGCCTGTGATGTAAGCATGATATAAACGATTGTCAGAATGTTCTACGTGTTGATCATGATACATGTATGAAAGCATGCAGTAACTGTGAGTATGTTATGCATGTTAATGGAAAGGTTATGACTCTAGATATGCTTATTGGTGGTTGAGCTATGGCTTATTTACTGAGTATGATAGTCTACTAATTCCCGCGGAGTTCCTGGCCAACGCGCTGTGTGCTAAGTCAGGGAGCATGAGTACTCCTGACCGTTGGTATATGAGATAATCAGGCCGCCAGAGCAATTAGTAGACGGGCCGTATTTGACCGAGAGCGAGTCTTACATACGAGTCCGAAAATTCTAGATAAGCATATCGAGAGAGAGTCAGTAACCTAGCTGGAGGTAGCTGAGATACCTCATTAACGAACAGATGACCCTAGTAAGAGAACTAGGAGTCAATGATGAATAAAACCTAAAAACATCTGGAAAGATTAGTTATGAACTCTTGAATGATAAGCTAGCTACTTACTGAGTAATCTAATTACTCATCAAAATTATTATAACTTTTCTTTCCAGATTTAGATGATGCAGGCCAACCGAGGACGAGACCAGCGGACTGAAGACTACTGGGAATCCATGTCTGTGTCTGTTTTGTATATTTATGTTTTCGCTGTCAAGAATTTACTTCGGTTGATTTAAGTTTAAATAGCATTGGTTTTAAATGTTTTACTGAATGTTTTTTAAATATGTTGAGATTATGATTGGGTGTTAGAGTATGTTGTCGTTGATGGTGGTAACCCCTGTTAATCGCGTTGACGATGAGCGGGCGTTACAAGTTGGTATCAGAGCCTAGGTTATAGGTTCTGTAGACAGTCTAGAATAGACAGTATGGATCCCTTTAGTCCAGCCCAACGGTATCTCACCTCGGTCAGGTAAGTGATGCATGACTAAATTGTATGAAAGAATAGTATGAAAGTTTAAAAGAATTGATTATGAATACTTAATTATGTGTATAACAGATATGGTAGTGTTAAAATGTGTAGACCCTAGAATGTCCAATGTGGACCTGGGGATTGAGGGGCAGCCTATAGAAGGAACTGCTCCAGCAGTGGCGATTCCGGAGACTACTTCTCAGTCGGCATCTAGAGATCAGCCGACTGTTGTTATTACTCTGGAGGCCTTGCAATCGCTGATTCAAAGTTAAGTGAATCAAGCGGTGCAGAGCCGAATGGATTAGGTGGTACAGATAGCTTTTGCTGGTTTTGGAAGGTGGGCGGCTCCGACAGCACCTGTACCTAGCCATGTGACTCTAGTGCCTGAAGCATAAGTAGGTGTTCAGGTAGCGATACCTCCAACAATTTCGAAGGAGCTACCTGGTACAACGGTAGTGACAGAGGCACCACTACGGGTAGTAACCTATGGGCGATGATGTATGACGAAGGAAAGTGAATACATATGAAATTTTATGAAACTTACCCCGCCAACTCTTGGAGGAAAGGGACTGATCCTTAGGCAGCTGAATGGTGGCTGGAATGTACTGAAACAAAATTACATTCTTCAACTGCCCAGGGAGTCATAAGATGCTGTGCGTCATGTATATGTTGGAGGGACCAGCCCATTTTTGGTGAAACCAAAGAAGCCAAAGATGGAGGCTAGTGGAGTCCCAATTTCATGGGCAGCATTTAAACATGAATTTTGTGAGAAATACTATCCTGCTCTAGTAAAATTATGAAACCGAAAGGTCTTTATGCAGCTGGAGCAGGGTAATATGTCAATAGAGAAGTATGAAGTGGAGTTCACACGATTATCCAGGTTTGTTCCTCATATGGATGCTACTGAGAAAGAAAAGACAGATCTCTTTATCCTTGGTTTGAGGACAGAGATGTAGGGATTAGTGTCTGCCCATGCTTTTTAAAACTTGTTACTGCTTATAATACTACTGTGGAATTAGATGCTGCCACCCTGGAGAGTAATCGGGGTTTCAACGGTCAGAAACGACCAAGTAGTAAACAAAAAAAAATTCACTTAGATATTCTCAAGTTTGCGACAGCAGGCAGTACTACGACAAGTAGATCATCGGTCTTCTTTAGGTGATAGGAAGGCAATATGTGAAAAATGTGGATTGATGCATGAGGGACCCTGTACTGCCGTAAACAAGACATGTTATAATTGTGGTAAGAGCGACCATCTTGCCAGAGTGTCGTAATGCAAAGAATCCTAGTGTGGTATGTGCGAGAGGCTCTAGGAGGAGAAGGAGGTTAGTCGAGTGCTGGAGGATAGCCTCAGTCTCGAGGTAAAGCCTTTGCCACGATGAGCAAGGTAGCGGAGAATGCCAGCTCGGTGGTGACAGGTACTTTACCTATTTATAGCTACTTCTCTTATTCTATATTTGATTCGGGCTCAACGCATTCCTTTGATATCGTTGTTCGTTAAGCCCGAATTCAAGTAGAGCCTTTAGGTTATGAGGTTTTGGTCTCTACACCTTCAGGAGCCATTGATGACTCGTGAAAAGGTGAAATGAGATAAAGTAGAAGTATCTGGCTAACCATTAGATGTGTTGTTAATGATGCTAGATATCTATGATTATGACATTATTTCGGGCATGGATTGGCTATATGTTCATCATGCCAGTATCGATTGTTATAAGAAGGAGATAGTTTCACCTCCTGATGGGAAAGAGCTTCCGGTTTCAGGTTACGAAGCCGGGAAGTGTTTCCAAGACAATAATTGCTCTAAAGGCTAGAAAGTTG